TTTACTCGGTTGACTCCTTCCCTCGGCCCTCCCCCTCCCCCTCCCCCCCCGTGCTGGGCGTGGCCTCGGCCCTTGCCCCATGGCCCTGACTCCCACTCCATCCTGGCTTCTGGGTCCCTCCCTAGACTTCCCGTGCCCTGTCCCACAGGCCCTGAGGCTTGAGCCCTGCAGCACGTACTGCCCGGAAGTCTCGATGGAGTTTGCTGTACTGCCACAGGTTGGCCAAGAGGCTGGAGGCTGCCCGGGAGGACTTCTCACTGTCAGGGCTGGGGAAGTCCAGAGGCTGGGGGTCAGGACTGGGGGCAGCCTGGGCAGCGGGGGCCCCAGCCAGGCTGCCTGGGGTCGGGTCATCCCTCACCTGTCTCGCTTCTTCTTGATGAAGACGAGTTTTCGGAGACCATCAAAGTAGAGCAGGTCGCGGGCGGCGATGGGACTGGCCACCACCAGGTTGTTGAGCACGGCTATGATGTTGACCAGCACCTCGGCTGGAGGATACTTCTCACCCACACTGCCCGGAAGCTTCTCGATCAGGTGGCTCACCACCTTGGTGGCTGCCAGGAGGGCCAGGTCAGTGACCCTGGGCTCCTGGGTGCCCCTCCCCTCCGCCCCCCCCCAGCTGATGTCCCTGCCTTCCTCCACCCAGCCTGTACCAAGAAGCCAGATGATGAGGGAGAACCACAGGGCTGGCTGGGCACGGCCCGACTCACACATCTCATCCTTGTTCCTGGCGTTGCGAGACAGGTTTCGGATGAGGCCTGTGAGCGAGCGCAGCTGGTGATGGTCAGCAGTCCGTACCCGGTCCAGAAGGGGGTTCAGGATGCGCTCCTGCTCCAGGGCCAGGCGGCTCAGCACACCCGCCCACTGCAGAGGGGAGGCCAGGGGGAGGTGAGGCCCCGGCAGCGCCCAGGCCGCCCTGCCCTGGGGCGAAGCACAGGGCTGCGCCCTCGCTTGGAGCCACTGCTCAGCTCTGTCCTCCCTGGGCCAGGCCTGTCCAGGCAGACCCTCTGCTCAGGCCTCTAGAAGTGGAGTAAGCTCAGGGTTCTGAGCTTGGGCAAAGCGTGCGCCTCATTCTGAGTCCCAGTCCTCCCTCCCCAGACTCCTGGGGAGTGGCTCCCGCTGCGTCCTGGTGTCCAGCCCAGCACAGGAAGGAGCGGGGGCCAGGGCCCACTGACCCTGCGGTCGCCGGCAGTGATGTTCTGCAGCGCCCCTGCGGCCGCTTCTGTGGTGTGCCGGTTCAGCTCACAGCGCTGCAGCAGCCTGCTGTACAGCCCCACCACCTGGGGGCTCCACAGCCACTCCAGGCCCTTGGGGTCTTTGGACACTTCGGCAAAGGTGAGCGCATCGGTTGTGAGGGGCAGCTGGATGAGAGGGTGCCGGGGTTAGCGGGGCCCGGGGTAGCCGAGGCGGGGGGGGTGTCCGGACGGGGGCCCTCTGCTCCCGTCCGCCCAGGCCCGCGCCCACCTCACGCATCCGCCGGCTCTGAGGTGTGAAGCAGCCCACCACCTC